AATGATTGAGTATTTGCGGTGTGCCTCTGCCGTGCGTCTACACTTGCGATGGGACGTCGTGCCCGAAGGGGCGTGGCCGCGGAGAGGCAATAGGTCGAGGCAAGCAGGGTGAAGACAACTCAAAGTTTCGTAGTTCATATGCGGAATTAACTTTGCGCGTAATCGCGCAGATGCATGTCCTTTAAACACTTGAAACATATGTGCTCAAGCCTTTATGGTACAGTTTGAGACCAACACTGAGACAAAAAAGAAACAACTGGTCCTCCTCAAAATGCGTAAACTCTGAATACTGTACTACACATTTTGTTTGCAGTCAGCGGCCGGTTTTTGGCAACAAAGTAGCAAACCAAACCGACTGTCTGTAATGCTAGGCAGTTTACCCTTGTTTTATACATATAGTATGGCTGATGATAGATTTAAAATTCAATACATAGATTTACCTTCTTCTGTGGCACAAACCGACTTCCACAGATGTTCCAAAATCAGAACGAAGTCGACTGCAGTCTGTAATTTGCAAATAACGTTGTACTACTCCGAGTATCTCAAACCGACTGTCAACAACCGTTAGGAAGGTGAACATATCAAGTTACATGATATGTCCCAAGATCAACTGAGCGAAGTTTGCGGTGATGGCAGCGGTAAAATAATGAATTATAAGCTCAGTTACTACGGATATTACTGAATTGCTGCAAATGCCAAAATTCCAGTCAGTTTTGACTATTTTACCATTTTGGATCGCGGAGGCAGAATTTTTAGCTTTCCTGATTCTCAGTTACTGTCGGGGCTTCAGCAGAAGATAACCTGAGTCTGGAGCAAAGACCATAGAGCAATTTGCCTCAGATCGTTTTTGATTTTCTTTGGTCAATCAGCTGAGTCAAAAGCATCTGTTTCATCCGGGCAAAACTTCTGCCGAAGGCGCCCAAATCCTTGTAGCAACAGAGACTATAAACCAAGGTTCTGTGGAATATCTTAGCTTCGGTCATACTCGAGATGCAGTAGCAACTGCTTTAGCTACCGTCTTTCGCACTTTACCAGGCCACATTTGAATGAAGTTTCTTTGTTTCCAAACCATCTGCAGTCCTATTCTCACAGACAACCAGATAAACCCCATATTCCATCACTTTGAGTCCATCTTGGACAAAAATGGTGACTGCAAAACCGTGATTCATCAGCAGCTTCTTCGGCAAAACGCCAGAAGGTGACAAATATGTGGCATCAGAAATTTCACGAAGCCAAGATTTGTCGCATCTGTAATCTGGTGGATCAGCTATAAGTTATGGATGCTAAAACTTGCATGTTTAAGATCGATGCGCTAGCACTGGACCCACCCACTGATCAAAGACCTCCCGTTTCAGATAGAAGATTTGCTTCCCAAATAAGAATATTTTGAATCTTCAAAAACAATTTTATGATAGTTTTACCGTTTACTGATTTCGCAGCGTTGGTTCTAACTAGATATCATCTATTTCTGATAGACACAGTTACGTATATATTGAAATCTAAGTTCTTGGACTATAACAGGTCGCGAAGTCATGTGTTTCTTGAACATGGCCTGAATCTTCTTAGATTCATTTTCAATCAAATTTTTGTCTTAAAATTTCTTATTAACCATTAATTACATTGAGCAAGGAATTCACCCTACCGTTCTTCGATGAAACCAATACAGAACCAGCAAATGATGGAGAATGCCGGAAGTTCTGGCGCGGTCATTTCAGTGCATGCGAGACTTACGGCAATGCAGCCGGACACGTCTGATTGATGGCCTCAATTCGTCAGAGCCCATCGAATATCTGCTCAAACATTATTAGAGAGAGAGAGTAAACCATAAATTTAAATGTACATTACTTTTGCTGACCTCTTAATGGATTCAATTGTGTTTTGGTGTCCATATGGAATTTTGAAATGGTTATCATGTACAGTTAACCCCCCTACTATCCTTGAGCGTTTCTAACAACTTATCCACGAAGTATGCTCAACGTGCGATGGTACCGTCGGGTCAAGTACGAACAGTGGCTGACAAGCACCAGCTTGAAAAACTGTCAGAAGAAACTAAGAACGGAGAGTAGCTTAGTTTGGCAGAACGATCCAAAACGAGTATGAAAAGGTGTAAAAACTTTTCCTTCGTGGGAACAGCGTAAAGCCGAAAATCCCATCATTACGACAGACCAATTTCCGTCAAGAAGCGTGACCTTTGCCGTAACAGGAATAGTTGCCTGATGTTAGTCATACACTATCGTTTACGGCCAGGCATTACGAAAACACGCTGCTTTGTTATCCAGGCATTGTTAGGATGAGAAGAGTAACAAACGCTTAAGTCGATCCGCTTGCAGGTTGGTAAGAGCGGATTTCGGATTCAGATTTATTAGCCATAAAAAGTGACTAATATAGTTTGCTTTCCAGTGAGTCGTCGCGCAACGATACTTCATATAAGGTCAAAATTAATAACGTCGGCGCTTAAAGTCGTGTATTAGTACCACACCGCCAGACAGTTGTGCATATATTTGCTCAGCTGCTCTGGAAGCCGGAAAGAAGAGGAAGTTTGGAACTCTTGTACGTCTGTCAAATGCCTAATTTAAAATTTATTTGACGGAAGCTCCAAAGACATCATGTTGTTCCTTCATGGAACCGCTTGTTTGCGCAAAGGGCATTCGGTTTTCAGATATTCTGGGGTTTGCACCTACACTTCCAACCTGCATATGGTGAGAATTAAAAGTTTCATTTGTCCACCTGAGTTGGGCAATATGAACGACATTTATAGCCCACCCTTGTGTGATTGATTGTTCGCAATATCTTACTAGACAGATGAAAACAAACTTTGCGGGTAATGAAGCTTAGATTAATGGATTTGTCAGAAATTGCTGCTGAATGAAAGTGTTGTTAACAGTCACGGATCTCACGCATCACGTGATTATGCTCAAGAACTAAGTGGTAAATCCTAGATTCTTCAGATATTCTGCCTCAGACTCCAGTTAGCTGAAAATAATGGCACCTGAGTGAACAGCCGGTAGTTTCTCGCCGAACTGTGCTAATGGTAGAAGGGAAAAGACTCATATAGATGGGTGATGTTGTAAACTGTCCAGCACTTGCGGAAAGTTAGGGTTTTAATATATAACTTAAATGAATCAGCATGGATAAATTGTGTCGTTACAAAGAGGTTGCCAGTTCATCTGCTGCCTCATGTCACTTGTACGAAAAAGTCGATTGGTCGTTGACGTTTGCTTCTGCTATCCAAGAAAACTTAAATCATAATTTATGACACACTGCGAATGCACGCAAAGGAGGAAAATTAAACTGCTTAGAGAAATTTACAGTCAGTGAAAAATTCAACCTCGAAAGAGGCTACTCCATGGAGAACGACCAATGTTGAAGCCACCGATCCAAAAGCAATTTTAGTAGAAGTTTAAAAATGATTGATTTCTGGAGTTGCATCCTGCTCGTGGGATTACTCATTAGTAAAATCGCCTAAACTAAAACGTACATTTAGCATAACGATCAAGATATCTAATGCCAGAGACAAGACATTGTTTAGTCGTGTCAGAAAGATCTTGGGGAAACACTCAGCAGAGCACCAAGAGGAGAACTGTGCATGATAAAGGGAGGTCTAGCTTAAGGTTGGAATGGGTATGCATCGACTCAGTTGGCGAGTTGCGATTGATCTTAAGAACACAAAGAACGATAAAATGGATATTTCATTGATTCGTAATTTTTCAGTTCATATGATCATTTATCAGTAGGAAAGCAATCGGTATATTAAATTGATTCAACAAATGTATTGTATTGCTACAAGCCTGTTCCTCAAAGGACATCTTTAAATGCAAGATTTTGCCATTCGAATTTCATCAATATAAACACCGATCTATAACATCGAAATAATACAATAAGATGAAATGAAGTAATGCCGTACGGCACGACATTAAAAAATGAAGAATAAGGTTGCAAGCCACTCATTTTATAAAATCAGGCGTATGATCATTGCTAATGTCAACATCAATTCAGCACTGAAAATTTCCCTGAAGATTATGAAGAATTAAAGCACGTGATTGTTGACAAATAACACGATAACACATTTAAATTACTAAGCTTAGGTCTGAAAAGGAGCAAAGCCAATGGTGCGAAAATCAGTAGAATGGTAAAAGTTATTTAAAAAAACACTTTTAGGTAACTGAAAATATGCCTATCTGAGAAACTGCCTTTGGGCTTGAAAGAGAATGTTTTCGGCCAGTACGTTTTCCCAGTATAACTTATCGATATAAAATATGAACCCTAAGCATGAAACTGTTCACAAACTGCTGACTACATAGCACCGCAAGATAAAATGAATATTGGGAATAAAATAAAGAAATAAGACGGCTAACGAATGAATAAGTGCACTAATAGGAGTCTGCGAAATCACTGCAAAAGTTGAGTTGAAGTTCCGAAAGGGTCGGATTCGTTGGAAAAAACAGAGTATTGCTGGACCAAAGAGATATTAGACAGCATTATAAGAAACAGTAGCTGCTCATGGAGGGACTTCCAGGTAGAAGGCAGGAGGAGTCAAATAAATAGTTCCTGGAACAATGTGGGTAAGACAAGCGAAAAATGAATTTTTTGACGAAATCTTGAAGAAACCTTCATCTCGCAGTGGATCGAGAAAAGCAGTTACTGCTGCTACTGCCGCTAATAGTGATTATGATTAATTTCTCAAGACAATATAAGGAAAAATAAAATCACCCTTTTAACCAATAAATAAGAAGTAAAAAAAGATTGTAAAAACAAAACAAAATTAAAAGCAACCACTTGCGGAATAAAGAATCTATATAAGCACAATAGCGTCAAAACGAGTCAATGTTATTCTGAACAAGGTAAATTTCGATCAAGATGGCAGTTTGAAGATCTCTAAGAATGTGCCATCCTTACTGCATAAATTTCTGAAAAATTCCAGTTCTAACAGAACATTAATATACATGGCCTTTTCTGCTCTCAACGTAAGACAATATCTGTGATAGTATGCCAAGAAAGAAATGCTTCTGAGGCTGTTACTCGCAGTGCGCACTCCAGGCGTGTCCGCTCAGGCGAAGAGTATGTGTGCCAAGGCATTTAATGGTAACTCATTCAGCGATGACACACTAAATGGAGACCGGCATATCGCCATGATGCACGGGTTTGCATTCCGAGCAGAGTAGTAGCAAGAAGCCATAAGTGTACAGAGATGGAATGCACAAAGCGGACAACCCTACTGAGTATTTTCTGGGAAACGCTCAAGTTCCTTAACATCTTTGCATTAAGTCCACTCTCTACTGATGAACCGTACTCAAGCCACGTAATGGCGGTTAAAAAAGTAAACTATAGATGCATAACATGATGCATCTGCTAAACTGCGTCGTCGGGAATGGTCAGTTAAATCGAACAGTGGTTCATAAATGCGGGACATTTACTGCACTGCATGACTCACGCCAACTGGAGCTTTAGATGTGTTCAGTCAAAACCGACGGCAGGATAGATATTGGCGCACGGAATGGAATATTCCTGAAGAAATTCTGCTTTGATTCTCTCTGACTGTTCTGATTCGCGTAGGGCAAGAGTCGGAAAACATCCGTTTGCCCTATCCTCACGCCCAATACGACCGCAGTGAGTTAAGCCTCACTTCAATCGGAATGAAGCCTTCGCTTCAGCACAAAGACTAAGAGTGCCTATATTGACAATGAGACAGCATTTCGTGTGAACAGACGTCGCAAATCTAGGCTATTGCTGAGTAAATTCATAATTCATGCCCGCACCGCTCGTTGGACCTAGATGCCGACGGACTGTCCAGGCAGGCCATCTCTTCGTGGTATATGAGCTGCTGCTGTGTGGCCATTACAGTACCGCATCTTTGAATAGGGCTGCACAAACTTTGTGCGCTAGTGTGCTTTATAAGCCTTATGTAACGATTATGAGAATAACGACTACTCCTGACAGCAGCTATCGAATGCTGCAAAAATACAGCACTTATGACATCCATGGCCGTTGAAAGGTTACTGGAAAACCATTCGCCGAACGGACGTTCAAACAAGCCACGGCATGAGAAACGAACAGACCGGAGAGGCAAAAGAATAAGCTACTTTACCTACATAACAGAAAATCGCAATCGATCGCAAATATTGTATTGTTGTTACGTTGACACGTACGACTGGGTCAATTACAGAATGGCGCATGTACTAATTAGCGAAGATTTTGTAGAACTACGCTGTGCCAACGAAAATGGCATATGTTAGCAGTTATTATCCAGGCTACTTTCCAAGACACTGATTCAAGTTGAATTGTTTTTTTTTGCGTATCGACATTCAGCCAAGTGACAACGTGCAAAAGAGGGTTTAAGTTCGCCAATTACGTTAATGACTAGCAAATTACCGTCACGCTTTTAGGAAGCATGGTTTCTGCGTGTTTGCCAGAAGCTACCTGCTTATCGCACCGTTCGTCTTAATATGTGGTTTGTTCTTTGTTTTACGAGACCGCATTTTACTACCATGAAAACGCAGTTCTTCAGTATTAGTCTATATTGTCCAGAACCAATCAAGTTCCTCCCTTGTTAGTCTGACATTCTGGTTCTTGAATGCTGTTTCTGCACTTCATATTTTTCTATTGAATATGTGTGTTCCTCACGTGCAGAGCTGGCATGCTGACATGGTGTGTAACAAATCGGTTTCGAACTCAAACTCGGGAGGTGCAGAGTTCGATTCCCATGTGCAACCTTTGTTTTAACCAAGAATTCTCTTCCGCACGTTGCTTCGGACAGAGGTTACTCGGCCGGTAGAGCGGTGGACTCAGAACCGAGAGATCCTGGGTTCGGGCTCGGATCAGGATGACTCGCGTTTCATTTCATATTGATAAATGAATATCACTGTGATATGTGTCAATGGAAGGAAACAGCAGAATAAAGATTATGTTTACCACATCTCTGCTGTGCATTCTGCATTGAAAAATAAGGCACTCCAAGCTGACGACATGGAATGGATATCACCGGTAAACTTCATGGAAACAGCGGTGCTAAAATTGGTACCATTACATAAGTGCGATTAAACAGTGATGATGCAGTTAAATAAATTCGGAGTGCATTGTAGCTGCGAGTTGCCGTTTCGCTTTGTACTTTAGAAGCGCAAGGTTCCAGTTCCATTCCGGATGGCAACATTTTCTTATTAACCGTTGATTCCCTTGAGCGAGGAACTGACCATGCCTCGAAGTAACCGTCTGAGAAACTTGTAGAAAGTCGTAGAACTCGCAGTAACAGGTGTGTTATGGTGTTTTGTCATAGCCATGCCAGAATGGAAAGGACGTATGCTATCTGATGCTAGGGCCTTCTGGGTCAGCAATTCGACTCGATCCACCTGATGGCTTGCTAATTGGCATGAGAATCAGCACAGGGTGCAGACCCCTTTGTTGTTGCTGTCGAACTGTCCTTCCAAACTTGTGACCGACACGTGCTTATTGACTCGGCAAAGATGTTCTTTAATGACGGCATTAGCTCTTCACTTTGCAGTGCTGTCGTAGATGGTAATTGGCCACACCCTCCCGCATAATCGTCATACTGTCAGCGACTGCTAAATCGTCAAACTCCTTGACTGTTTCGCCATCTTGAACGCCCTGCTGTTGTTGCGACTTCCTCCATCACGCCATCATTAGCTTAACGGGCTCGAAGGGCATTCGATCGATGTTTATCATTTCTCTCGATAATGTGCAAAGCCGTCACCACGTTCGGTCAGTCGCTCTTCCCCCGTTTTTGCCTCAATATGGTAATGAAATCTCTGTGGAAATAACTAACATGTACGATCGATCGATGGAAGATAGCCCGTTTCTATGCCCAAAAGAGGGTAGATCAGGCAAAACTCGTTGTGGTCTATCATCCAACGATGCCATACTTGTACGACGATTGAATCATAAATGCAATAGAAATCGTAGAAATTCAAGTTTGGCAACGGCATCGCAGTGTTCTCTCCCCAGGGCTTTCCTCTGATACATGGCATGAGGGGTGAAAAATGCATGCAACTGACACAGATGACCACCTACTAATGACGGAGATTCAAACTCTCAACCGCAGGACCTCGATTGACGCTATGACCTCGCACTGATACCACAACGGAATTGCAGGCAGACGTTCACAAGTCTGATAACGACATTGTACTTCACTCACATACAGACTCTCACACATATATATAATTGGCTGATGCAGAAGTCTACCGTCCAGCTATACAGATTCAGATCAGCAACCGCAGAATCGAGCGATGGCAGCAACTTCCGGTGTGCCCCCAATCAGTATGGGCCAAAACAACTGCGCTGAAAAGCACACTTCAGAAGAAATGCCATGCGCTGCATAGCGATTTTTATTTTAGATTTTTTGAATAGTTTACGAAACTACTGCTCGCCCGCATGGCACGAAATGTACTTGAAGATATCGGCTCCTGCCCAACATTTGAGGCTATCTCGTTACCTGGCAAAAGCACCGAATTGAGGATTTATCGTGAATCGACTAGAATTACAAGATTTTTTTCTCATTTCAGCGTATGTTGAACGATTGATTTTACGAATCAGCCAAGTCAACAGCAGCGCCACTTGCATCCTGCTTATTTTAGTATCGTTGAGATCTCAGCATTATGATCTGTCCGTCAGTAAGGATCTCATGAAGGGTTTACTCACTTTATTTCTGATCCAGATATGAATTTTCGTGCTATACATCGGTACAGAGTCGTACTGTAGTTTTAATGATTCTTGATGTTCTTGAACATCTGCAGTGTATGTTGTGTGACAGTACTTTACATACGGGAGATCGAATTTAGGAAATCAGTCATTTGAAACAGTGTC